AAACAATGAGAAAGGATTTGTAAAAATATTGGTGAACTCTTGGCAATTATAGGCTACTTTGAGTACTCCCAACTTGGAAATATAAACATTTTTAACAATATTCCATTAGATTCATTCTTAAACTGGTATATCAATATTAGAGGAAGAAATTTAGCCTTTTGAGCAACCAATTATACACGAACAATTAATTTGTACTAAAAAAGTTGCCTTTTTTAATCAGCTCTGTTTCGAGAAAATTGTTTTAACGTGAGTGTTTTGGTCGTAAAATAAAATTCGCCTGGGAGAGATGCTAGCCAACGGGGCTGGCACTTTCAGCTAATGGCTGTCCTAGAGTCAAATTGCCGCAGGCCTCATTATGCATACAAAATGGAAGCTTATTGGCCGGACGGACAGGCGGCACAAACAGCCGGACATACGGACAAACATACGGACAAGGGACGACGGACAACGGACAATGACAGTTGCGTTTACGTTACGGGCAAACAAACAAAACTACGGGCAATATGAAAGTGCGCACACAACGACACAAAATCATTTGAAAGCAATTATATCAGGCAAACACGGGGGACATTGGATAGTATGGATGCTACTATATATGTATGTATTTGTAGGACTGGGAATGGGTCAGTATTCAGTCCGTGCTCAAAGCACGGCGTACAATGAATCAATTTACGGTACGTAACAAAGCCGCAATTACAAGCGCCGGTAGAGCGACAGAGACGAGAAACAAAACGACAATTATGAAAAGAGCAGCGAGTGCAATTGCAGTTTGCAATCGCAATTCCACTGACAGTCGTCTGTCGATGCAATGCACAAATTTTTTGGGGCCACGTTAAATGACGCAGGGGCCTGGACCATTTTTTGTTTTGCATTTTCTTGGTGCCTTTCCCCACGACTTGGTCCCCGCGTGTCGGTTCTAATGGATAATTGTCGGACTCGCATGCCGATGAGAGGCATTCTTGGACGGATCGAAAGGGTAGCGGCGGTGGGATTAGCGATACGAAGGTGTGGGAACCGCTTAAAAGCACTTGTTGATTCCACTCGGCGGTCGGAAAATGTGACAGGATACAGAGGGCATTACAGAAGTTCTCCATTACTCCTCTTAAATCTTTGTGCATCACAGTTACAGTAGACAAATGATTTGGTCTTTGTGCACATATCTTTAAAGAACATATATTATTATCCCAACCTTAACTGTAACTTTAAAAATATCTATAGATTCAAACCAAAAACTAAATGTTTTGCCAGTGAAGGTTATCTTTATTAGCTACATTTTAATCATAAAACTGGAGATTCCACGATTTCAATATTAATATTTAGAGTTATGAATTTAATACTGATATATATGGGTTCTATTAAAAATCATTTAAATTAAGATATTTTTATTATGACAAAAACCAGTTAACCCTAATTTATATAATGGTTTCTTAAATGCCCATAGATTGCTTCTTAAATGCCTAGTTTTTAAAAAGAAGTTGTCAATTTATTTCTTTTAAAATTTGTATAAATGATTTCTGAGTAGCTTAAGACTTTGACTGTTATTGTGACTAATTCATAATGATCGTACCCATATATGGTATACAATAAATAATTGTTAATTGTGAGAAATTAAAGAAAATGTCAATCTAAAATGGAATCCCAAAGTATAATTATAAGATCTTAGCAAGGTATCACCCTGATCGATCACTCCGCAAAACGATCTCTCTCACTTCATGTTTGCTGCATTTACACTAAAAATACATTGGCAAAGTGAATTGTATTAATAGCAGGGCATTTATTTAGTTATTTCAAAGTTTTGTGTGTTGTTTTTTTTTTTGGTTTGGCTTGTTTTATTTTCATTTTCATTCGCCTTTGTGTTTATTTACTTTGCCATTTTGCGCCGAGCAGGCAGCTCGTCTTCTTTTATTTTGTGGCCCGTGGGCCCTTCAAAAGATTTATAAAGTTTGCCAAAAGAGTGGGAGGTAAGGAGAGGGGCGTCGTCAGAGGGGGGGCGGTAGCGTTCAAAATTACTGAGCCGTGGCGATCGCCGCGCCAGTCAACGAAACTGTGAATGGAATTGTATTCGCATGTTTTCAACGATATTCGCCAAGTTGCACAACGAAAATAGAGAAAGATACAGAGACACAGACACCAGTGCAGAGTTGCGGATGCATCTGTATCTGTGTATCTGGGCAGCGTCATCAAAAGGTATTTTGAATTAATTCAAGATTTATGCATTCAACATTCGCTAGGTGCCACATTTCCCATTCGCATCGCCACAAAACTTTTACCCAACTTCATGTTGCAGTCAGTGATGGGAAAGGTATTGGGTTTACTTGGGCGGAAAATAAATATTTTATTGAGATCATCTGAAGAGCATAAGTACCATAAAGTTAATTTGTAAATTAAAACAAATAATTGTAACTTTTTTGGAATACAATAAATACATTTGTACCAATTTACGTTCTAATATGCTCATTATATAATTACAAGTATAACTTGAAAATATCCAGATCAAACAATTTTTAAGAAAACCCTCTTCTAACCCTTTAGATATAAACCATCCAAACTAAAACCTTCAGTACCTTTAGGTACAACGGCACTCCATCACTAGTTGCAGTTGCAGTTGCAATAGTTGCACCAGTTGCCGGTGTTTCAGTTGCAGTTGTTGCACCTGCCAGCATCGTCGGAGCTCAGCGCAGCAGGTGATCCATTTCTTTTATCCGGTGGCCTCCGCTTTCCCGCCACGAGAAATATGGCAAGGGATTTGGAGGGAAAAGCGAATCCGGCAGCCCAGCCCAGCCTATTTTTGCTTGCTGTGTTGCTGCGAGTTTGGCAAACTAATGCAAATAGACAAGATGAGCTGCAATCAGCATCCGCGCCCCCCTTTGTGGAGTGCTGAAATTCACTTGGGTTATACAATTTGCAGCATTTCGATAATAGATATATTTATAACCGTACATCTATGTGGATGTATATGCATGAACTGCATAATTTATGGGCATTGCGTGTTCAATGGATTGCGACGGCTGTCCGGGCCATATGGCTGTACCAATGTCTCTACTTTTCTATACATCTCTTGACTTTTCCTATTTTGTGCCGGTTTTTCTCTCTGGCTAACTTCAGCGACAAAGGGTTCACCTGGCTTAATTTGGCATATATCAGTTGGTGAGCCCTCCTCGGCGCTTCTCATAAACTTTAGTTGGATGAAGTGAGCATTACAATGCATAAAGTAAGAGCAAACCTAACTTGTAACTTATATTTGTAATTAAAATATAAACCGCATAGCAACGTTACCGTTTGCAGTGATTGCTACATAAGGAATAAAACTAAATTGATAACCTATTAAAAAACTATTTAATATAATTAATGGCTTATCAGGTTAAAATACAATGACTTTTTCTTTTCGTATAAAAAATGATATTTATTTTACTTACAATGATAATTAGTTCATTGAAAAAACTACATTTAAGATACGATTTATTTTAAATTATTGCTTTATTTAAATAATTAATAGCATTTGAAAGATTAGATGCCAGTGTTTGAACACGACTATTTAAGTTCCCAATATTTGTTTTATGGTTTTCAAGTGTTTATCACAACGTACTGTCACAATTAATTTATATTCTGTTCCCACTCAAACACCATATTCGATGCATCGCTCTAACAAAACCCTAATTTGTTCACTTTATGGGCTGCGTCAAAAGTCCATTTCACCACTACCTACAATCAGTCCACTTGCCTGCCAATCACTGGATCATCCATTTGTTAGTCTGACTTTCTGACAGCAAAACGGCACTCAGACCATCAAGAATCCAACTGCAAGCCGATGCAAATTATCAGCAATGCGGCTGGCAATTAATCTGCTGCATATGACACCGCAATCACAACTTAACCCATTTTGGCACAAATATAAATGTTGAATGAGGGGCTGAAAGCTGTGGAATCGGACTGATTATAAACTGTAGCCGGAAGGATGAAAGCGAGCCGAGAGCAGTAACTGCATTGCACTAAAGCACTAAGCCGAATGGCTTTAATTGAATTTTGATGTCCTTGGCAAATTGTTTTCTAATTAGTTTCGCAGACTTGGATCCCCAGCTGGGCCGTCGTCCATTTCTGGCCAGTTTCGGCCAGTTCCGGCCCTAGTTGACATAGAAAACTTTCTGTCAACAACTCTAACTGCCTTGATACCACTCCCCAGGCCACGCTCCATTCTCTTCCGGCGCCCTGCGCTTCAATAATGACAAACTTAAAACTTAAACAATTAATACCACGTCCACGACCTCAAACTAAATAAAAAAGTTTTCGTTTACTGTGGCACTTCGAAGTTGGGATGCTCTTTTAGAATGATAAGTGATGTTCCTAGACGAAATCTTAACGAATAGCATTGTATTGTATTTCTTAGATTTATTAAATTAGCTAAGCTTATCCAATTAGCTTTAAACAAGTAAAACGACTGATTGATCTTAACAAATTACAGGCTCAGTATATTTTAAGTTTAAATGTATAACCATAAAGAAATCTAAATGAATCTGAGATTTGTATTATTAAATAAATTTAAATATACCTTGGCTATTTTGGAGATTTGTAGATGATATGATATGTATGTACCTTTAAAGGTATGTTCTAACTATTTCCTCTGATATACCATTTACTTTAAAATGACTTTACTAGTACATATTTTACGTATAAAATATTTTTATGGTTAACTAATGAAAATGCATAGCGAATTTATATAAAAGGTAGATATATCCTTTTAAGAAAATAAGAAAACTTCGAGACACAAAAATGATGTAGGAACCCAAAGCAAATAATTTCTGATGATAAGAAAAAATTCTTTAGCTATAACAATACCACACCTATTTAAAAGTAAAGCTTTATTGTTATTAAGAAATTTCGTATTTTAAATATTCTTTATATACAATTAGGCAGGCCCCAAGAGGTCATTTGAAACGTCCAAAAATATATTACTTCCATTTTCGAAACACTTAGTATTTCGAATACAATACCAGTACACTCACCCGGGGTCATTGGGCACCTCCGAGGGGGAACAGGGTCCCAGCTCCACTTGCTGCTGTTGCTGCTGCTGCTCAATCTTGATGTCCATGTTGGGGGTTTTGGCTCGTGATTGAGATTGAGTTGGAGTTGAGTTTGGAATTTGGGGTCTGGAGTTCGGAGTTTGGTGTTCCGGGGTTGGGAGCTGAGCTGCGCTGATGTGGTTGTCTGGCTGTCTATTCTACAATTGTTGCTCCAACGCCTTCTTTCCGGGCATCGAGGGCTGCGAGGGGAGGTCAATCGGTTCTGTGTTTTTTGGCTGAGTGGCTGTGTTCCGGGTGTTGTGATGTGTGGACGGGGATGCTGCTACTACGAGTTGGCTAACAAAGTGTTCCCTTAATCATTGGCCAAGTTGGCTGCTAGTTGGCTATTCGATTCGCTCCCAGATTCCTTGATTTCCATTTGGCCTGGCTTTGGTTTTCCCGCTGATTTTCCACGGCTTTTCCCTTCCCTTCGATTTGGTTTGTTGTTTTAGCTTTTTACTAATAATTTGGTTACATTGCACACTTTGAATCACATTTCTTGGTTGTTGTTTTAGTTGCTTCGTTTTGCAGGCCACTTTTGGTTTGGTTTTAATTTAATTTTGTGTACTTTGAATTTATTATTTGGTATTTAGACTTAAAGTTTTAGAAACGTTGCGTTAACTTTGGTTGTTGGTTTAAAGGCAACATATTACTGCAAAAGATCTGTTCTTTTCTGTTTTGTTTTCGGTTGTGTTTGGTGAAAATTAATTAAATTGCAATTTTAAACTTTGCCCAGGGAAACTTTTGCAAAAGGCAATTTTCCCCCTCCTCCCGCGCCCATCCGCAGCTGCTGCACCACCCGCAAAATGCAATGATTCGCAACGAACAATCGTAAAATGCAAAAAAGTGCAACCGATGGGGGGAAAAGCGAGAAAAGCGGTGGAAAAGGCAGGTGAGGAACGGGCGGAAAAAGGGGGCGGCGACGTGACGGCTGAGTGACAATTGGGATGCGCTACTAAGAGTGCAAAGTGATCTTTGTTTGAAATAAATTTGAGTCACTTTATATGGCAGCAGCCATCAAATTAATTTCTTAGAATGAGCCAAGTATCTCTAAAAAGAAACGATGCCGTAAAAAGTCCATTCCAAATACAAATGAAACTTGTGGGTATTTTACCGTTGAGAGTTTTCATTTTATTGAGTAGCACAATTTTGGTTTTGCAGTTTACGTATACGTAATATCCAAAGAGGAATTAGAAACTTTACTTTGTATAAGAAAATATTATTCTGAACTTTAAAACCGATTGGTTAAACTGTATAAACAGATAACTATTGAAAACTTGAACTACTTTTATAAGTTCCAAGAACTATTTTTCTTGAGCTATTGAGTTTTTAATCTACGTATGCGTAATATCCAACACTAAGTAGGAAATGCAATATTGGTAGAATATTTTAGAAATATAGTAAATATTTTTTGCAAAACTTGTATAATTCTTTAAAAAACTTGAAAGTTAGTCTAAAGTTTAAAAAGACTTGGAACTATTTTTCTTTTGCTGAGAGAGGCACACCTGAAATTCCCACAACTTTTTTTGGTTAACGCAAAAATTCAGGCATTCAAGTTTTACAGCTTTGAACTTTCGTTGTTAATGCCATTATTTGCCGTTGCTTTCTCCCAGAATTTTTTGGTTTTCCATATATATTTTTTTTGCATTTTCCGCGTTTAATACGCGCCTTGATCTTTCCCACACCCACAACAACAAATAATAGAGAACGCTAGAGAGAGATGGAAGCGAGAGCGAGTGCAAGTGCGAAAGGGCAAGAAGAGCGTTGCATGCAGTGACTCCCCCAACAAAAACAAAAACAAAAACAACAATATAATAACGCGCAGCATGCAAGCTTTCACAAACAGACACTCACACACACTGTCGCACACCCGCACCCACACCCCCACACGCAGAGAACATGCACCGTTACAACGAGAGCAGAAGTTAACTGGCGGCAGCAACAAACACGTGACCCGACAATTGCGACAATTGGCAGCACAAAGTAAAACAAAATAAAGGCGAAAACTAAAACAGAACTAAAATAACACATGTGTGCCCGGTGATCGCCGATAGGGGGCGCTCCATTGATCGGTAATCGAAGTTACCGTTAGATTGTTTGAAGACAGCCATTTTGGATGAGTGATCAAAGCTGCGTACTCAAAGATAGATCTGAATGAGATACTAGATACTTTTAGTATCTTATAGATATGGATAAAGGTAGATCTAAATGAGATACTAGATACTTTTAGTATCTTATAGTTGGGGATTATGATATATCTTTATTTGTACTTTATATTATATTTTTTATGATCGATTCTGTTAATACAAATCTTTTTATTGAAAAAACAAATAAAATTGAAGCTTAACCATAACCATTTAGGAATTTATAATAATAAAAGAGAACACTACAGCTTTAAGAAACTCTTTTGTTTTTGTTACTCCTGCCTAGAATGCAAAATCCTTCATAACTAGGTATATTTCTTTATTCCAATCCCATATTTCTGTTAAAAATAAGAAAAGAAAACCCCATAACTCAGAAATATATCCCCAAATTTATGACTAAGGGGTCTGTCTCCCTTTCTCTATCGATCAAATATTAATGTTTCCGTTATTTTGCCGGCCGGCAGCCATTTTGCAGGAAAGATCAACACAAATGCAATGAGGGGTGGCAAGGAGTGAGCGAGAGGGGAGGGAGGGAGGTCTTTGGGGCATGAGTGAGAAGGTTGCGCTTTAACTCTTCTTCTTCTTCAGCGGTTATTGTAGTTGTTCGCAATTAAAATCGAATGCCGCGCACATTTATTTGTTTTCCTTTATTTTGTATTTTGTTATATTATATAATCGTCAAATTGCACTCCACACAGCCATCGAGGTAAACAAAATGCAAATGCCCTACACAGCAGGGTTCTTTTTTCCTCCTCGCCTCAAACTATTCTATATATGCCTCTTAAAATTGGTTGTAGGTTGTATCTTGAACGCGATTCGGTAGTTGTTTTGTTTTGGTTTTGGTTGTGGTTTGGCTGAAACGCACGCACTTGACGGGCGGCGGCGGGGGAACAACTCAGAAATCGGGGGACTCGAGGAATATATAGAGGAATTGCAACTGAAAGTGCAACTGTGGCGTTCCGTTTTTCTCAGTGCGCGCACACGAACGCGACAACCAACAAGACGACACTGAGCGGCGAGACCCCAAAACCCAACTGACGGCCCCAAACGACCGGCGGCAGCGACGTCGACTGCACTGCTGCACTCTCTGCTGCCCGCTGTTGTTGTTGCTGCCTCTGCCGCTGCCACGGTGGAGCTTTGCGTCGGCAGCGACTGCGGCAGTTGCACTATTTACCGGCTGCACATGGCGCATGTACTTCAGCATCACAGCTGATAAGTGATAAGCCGCAGCGCGGAAGAGAGCGCACGGCAGCCGGCTAGAGAGCGAAAAAGAGCGGGCGAAAGTTTGAGGAGAAAGCTCGGTGAAAAGAGCAGAGTTCTCTTAAACTGCCAGCAGCTTTCAAAGCTTACACTGCCACAAACAGCAGAGTGGTTTCCAATAATTGCTTTTGTAATGAATTGGTTATTTCATTAACTTTAAAAATAGAAATGCTAATGAAATTCAAAACGGTATTGCTAAATAATAAGTGAAGTACTTGAACTACTTCATTAGCATTACTTTTACAAAAGTAATCAAATACGTGTTTGATAATAATTTACAAGTAATGATAACGCTTATTAACACAACACTGACAAATAGCACGTAGTATCGAGAAGATAGAAAAATAAGCAAACTTAAATATTTGCACACTTTATATTAATTAAAAATTATTTAATAGTTAGTTAAATTTTGAAAATTTTCACTTTTTAAAATAAAATATTAATCATCCGCCATGTTGGTTAAATGTTGTTTCTTTTGGAAGAATTTGATAAAGTTATATGTTATGTTATTACTTGGAGTTTTTAGCCAAAACGATTTTGGGTACATATTTTCTAAACATGACTCACAAAAAAGGATAATTTTCTATCCCTAAAGGGAATGAAATTGAAATTTTATCAATACAAATGAAAAAATTAAACACTTCGGTCGGATTTTAAGGCAGTACTCTACATAAATTATATGAACTTTTCGTATTATTACACTTTATTTAATGTATAAATGTTTAATATTTTAAGTAATGATACTTCAACAACAAATTAACAAACTTTCTAACAAACGGAAATACAGGTGATTTATAAATTACCAAAATAACTATGAACAAGAGATTCATTTACCAACCATTTTTAACTTTACCTTTACATTCTCCACCGAAATAAAAAAATACCATTTCAACTTTTTTTTCGACTTGAAAACATCGTTTAATTTCGTTTTTCCACACTGACAGGTTTTATCCATTTTTTATTGCATTCTGAAAATACGGCATACGGGAAATTTAGTACAGTCGCTTATATGCTCAACACTGGAACGAGGTATCTATCCATGGGGCTATCTTAAAATTATGCAAAAACAATGATGTACGCGTCGTGGAGAACTGGAGCTCTAGAAGATCTAGGAACTCCTTCGAGCCCTCTCTACGCATCGCAGGTCGGGGCCTTCTCCGGTCCGCAAATGGGGATGACAACAAAAACAAAGAGATGTCGGCACCCTCGAACTAGCACTACAAAGCTCCCCATAGACCAAGACATAGAGGAACTCTCGCCTAGCTGCTCTGGGCAGTCACGGGCTTGGTGGGCGGCGGAGTGGGCGTGCTGCCGGCGTCCAGGGGCTCCGGTCGCTCCTTCTCCTTGTTCCAGCTCTTAAGGCCTTCGGGCAGAGTGGTGTCCTCCTCAAAGGAGCCAGTTCCCTCGACGAACTCCTCGTACGTGGACTTCTCCTTAAAGGGTCGGGGGCCCAGCAGTTCGATCATGTCATCTCGACTGAGGACTTCGTTTGCCAGCAGTCTTTCGGCCACTTTTTGCACATCCTCCTTGTGCTTGGTCAGCAGAGCAGTGGTGGACTGGTGGGCGCACTTGATAATCGACCTCACCTCGCTATCGATTAGTTGGGCTGTGTCCTCTGAGTAGGGCTTGCTGAAGATGGGATCGCCAGCCTGGCCCACATCGAAGCTAACCTGTCCGACCTTCTCGTTCATGCCGAAACGCACCACCTGAGAGTAGGCAATATCGGTGATCTTCTTCAGATCATCCTGGGCACCCGTGGTGATTCGGTTGAAGAACAGCTCTTCGGCCACACGGCCACCGAGGGTCATGCACATGCGATCGAACAGCTGCTCCTTGGACAGCAAGTAGTGATCCTTGGGCAGATACTGGGCATAGCCCAGACCCTTGCCGCGCGGGATGATCGATACCTTGAGCAGCGGATCAGCGTGCTCCAGGAACCAACCGGCCACCGCATGGCCAGCCTCGTGATGCGCCACAGTTCGCTTCTCCTCCGGCGCCAATACATTTGTCTTCTTTTCCATGCCAGCAATAACACGCTCAATGGCCTGTTCGAAGTGCTTCAGGACAATGGAGTCCTTGGAGTCACGGGCGGCAATTAAAGCCGCTTCATTACACACATTGGCTATGTCGGCGCCTGTGAAACCGGGCGTCAGAGCTGCCATCTTCCTGCTCAGCTCATTCTTGTCCAGCGTCGTCTTCAGGCTACCCAAATGCACCTTGAAGATGCTCGCCCTGCCCTTAATATCTGGAGCTGGGACATAAATCTGGCGATCGAAGCGACCCGGTCGCATCAGAGCCTTGTCCAGAATATCCACACGATTGGTAGCAGCCAGCACCACCACATTCGTTGTGGTATTGAAGCCATCCATCTCCACCAGAAGTTGGTTGAGGGTGTTCTCCTGCTCAGAGTGGCCGCCGAAAGTCTTGCCACCACGCTTTCGACCCACTGCGTCGATTTCGTCGATGAAGAGGATGCAGGGAGCATGTTTGCGGGCCATGGCGAACATATCACGGACACGAGAGGGTCCCACGCCCACAAACATCTCGAGGAACTCGGATCCCGACACGGTGATGAAGGGCACATTGGCTTCGCCGGCGGTGGCCTTGGCCAGAAGCGTTTTTCCCGTGCCGGGTGGGCCAGTCAGCATGGCCCCCTTTGGTATCTTGGCGCCCAGATCGATATACTGCTGCGGGTTCTTTAAGAAGTTCACAAACTCCATGATCTCGATCTTGGCCTCCTCGCAACCAGCAACGTCCCTATAAAGGAACCGCTATTAGTTAAGAATGTGGATACAATAAGTGTTTTGATCTTACTTGAAACCTACGCCAATCTCTGTGGGATTGGTCAGCTTGGCGGTGGACTGCATCACGCCTCCAAAGAGGCCGCCACCCTTACGTCCTCGACCACCGCCCATCATATCTGCCGACTTGCGCATCATGTAGACCAAAAAGCCGATGATGAGCAGCGTGGGCAGCAGACCCGTCAAACTGGAGGCCTCCACCTCGTTACGGTAGATCACGGGCACAAAGTTGATGGACTCGGTTCCCTGCTCCGCCTGCGCCGTCTCCAGGTTACGCTCGAAGCTATCGACACTGCCGATGTTGAACCACAAGACTCCGCTACCGCTGTTGCTGTTCTGCTGAAGACGTACGCGCACCCACTTCTTGTTGACCACCTCCAGCTTCTCCACCATGCCCTTGGACAGGTAGCTGGAAATGGGCGGGAAATAAAACATGTGCTATGATTAATAACTATAAACATAGTGATCTTTCTTTAGACAAAAAGATCCAAAAAGTTGATAATATGTTGCTTTATGTCAGATTTAGCTTCAAATCATAGAATAATTAAAATAACTTCCGTCTATTTAAAGTTAGGGTAAAGTTATGTTAAGAGGTTACTTTAGGAATAAAGTTCCAACCTGATTAACTTAAAAATGATATTGTAGAAGAGACTTCTATAGAGTTATGATCACTTTTTATCCCACATTCCTTGATTCCAACATAAAACACGAACGAATTCTTAAAGAACCTCACCTGTTGACGAACTCCTTCCAGGAGATCTCCTTGTAGCCCATCTCGAAGAAGGCGAACGAGCCGACCAGGACGACGGCTCCGATGGCGCCCAGTAGGATCCACCGCTCCCTGTCGCCGCCGCCTCCCTCACCCAGCGGTCTACCGCCCGGCGTGTTGCCGCCCCTGCCCGCCGGTCCCCTTGTGCTGTTGCTGAACATGCCAAAGTTCCAGTCCGACTTGGCTTCCGTCTGGGCTCGTGGGGGCTTAGCCGAGGCGGGTGCGGATGTGCTGGGCTTCTCCGCGGCGGATTTACTGGATCCCGATCCCGAAGGGGCCTTCTTATCGCCGGCGCTACCCTTGGGCTGGCCCGAAGATTTACCGCCTGCCTCGAAGTACTTCTCGAAACCCTTGGGCGGCTTCTTGCACAGCAGCTGGATCTGTTTGACTATGTAGCGGAGAAGGGGTGACAGCTCCGCGGGCAGTATGTAGACCCCGGCGCCCGTGGCTCCCATGGATGTGCGTTGGACCTGTGTGGGCAAGAAGTGTGCTATAAATTTGGACTCCATCAGGTGCGCAAAACCCACCTTTCCCGTCAGCGAGCCCGCCGTGTAGTTGCGCCGCATCATTCCGGCCATCGTTTTGGCCGTGCCAAACAGCCGGAAAGCCATGACTACGGCGGATTTTCGGTTTTCGCTAGGTTACCCAACGATCGGTCGCCCGGATTCCGGATTGCGTGGCCACCGCCTCCACTGACACAATTTTGGTTTGAAAAAACTGGCTTCCTCGAACTGTCACCGAAAGTAGCCGCCTCGCTTCGCCTGTTTCGTTTGGAATTTTCTCGCTTCTCGCAAATTAAATGGTGAAAACGTTCTTATTTATTACGCGGAGCGGTGCGCGATTGTGAAATTATCGACAAATAATACCGTCTATAAAACGGCCACGCTAAAATGTCAGGGGGGTGTCTTCGCTGCCATAGCTTACGCGCCACGTTCTAGCCGACACACCCACCCTGCATAGCCGAGACACGATCCACCCAGCTTTAACATATGTTAAAAGTGAACTTAGGCTATCGAGTACTGTTAACGCTAGCGGCAATGTTAGTTATTGTAACGATTGGAAAAACATTAAGGCAATAATAATAAAAATAATATTTTCGTATATTTTATAATATTTTAATACTTCCGATCTACGAATTGAATGTAATAAAATATGATACGACCATATTTATTATATATTATTGCCATAATACAAAACGATCTTTTATATTTTTACATCAAGATTATAAATTTAATAACATATTTATACGTAATTTTTTTTGAAAAAATCTTTTTTTATTAAAACCAAAAAAAGAGAAAATCCCAGCACTGGGAAAATATTCGGGTCAAAAAGCCTAAATGTGGCTTCAAAAAATAATAGCTCCGTTTTTGTTGTCTATTCAAGACATAACTTTTATATATTTCTTTAAAACACAGTCAAACACAACTAATCTCAAAATAAAATGTTTGGAACGGGGCACAATGGATCCATGGATGTCCATATGAAAGATTCTCAAGAAAAGGAGCCAGTTCGATTGACGGACTTGCCAGTTGAGATCTTGGAGATGGTTATGTCGCATTTGGGTTTGTACCATCATAAATTATTGCGTATGGTATCAGAAGACATGAAACACATCAACAATTCTTATATAATGCACCGCCACAAATGCTACGAATTTGCCCATCGGGAAAAGCCATCTGAAAGTGATCGGGAGTACGGTGTTAGGATGATGCTGCAGGTGGGAATCCTATTGTATTAAGGGTAATTTCAAAAAGTCTTTTACAGGTAATCCGGTGCTCTACGTGTTACTTTGCCGATAAGGATTACGAGTCTGTCCTCGCCATCAGTCTGCTTTTCTTCCATGATTCGGTATACCAGACAGTTGACCATCTAAGCCAATTCCTTGTTCAGTTCCTGTTCCGTTTGGAAGACAGGGTTTTCAAGAACCCACTTCAAGTTAGACGCCTCCAGTATACACTATCTCTGTTCAGCCTTCTGCGAGTGAGTAACTTTTTGTTTTAGATATCCAATCTTACCCGACACTGTCTTTGCAGCAATTCCGAAATTTTCGGATCCTGCGCTTCGGATCGACCCCATTCCACTGGACCCTGGAGGTAGAGCTCAACAACACCTTTATCGGAATTATAAACAGGAACGAGCTAACTGGCGGTGCATACAAACGTACCTACTTCATGGTCATCATTGCCGAGCTGCTCCTCCACGAGAAGAAAAACCAAAATTTTAGGTAAGGCTTTTGTCGAATAAAGAATTCCTTGTACATTCCTGGTTTTTACAGCGCTCAGAAGGAGGCTGATGGTACCCTGTACACCTATGGTATCCTGCCAAACTCAAAAGCCAAACGCAATTCACGGCTGCAGCTGAAGTTCTTAGTACAGGGTCCGCAGAACTTAATCGATTTTCTGCAGGATGTCATCACCGGAAAGGACGATCCCAGCAAACCTTTCAACATGCCACCAGAATCCGTCTTCAGCGGTCACATCACGACCAGGGGCTTGCGAGGACCACAATTTGTGTATAATGGCGACATGGACATTAGTATCTTGAAGTTTTCTGAGCTGGAAGACTGGAGTGATTCAGAGGCTTCACTATAGTGTATTGCAATAAAAATAAATGTAGTGCCAATATATACAATTTCCATACGACTTAAACGGCTAGCCCTCCGTTAGAGTATACAGAGTCCCATACTGAAACACATTTAAATACCGAAAAATCGAACATGAAAATGGGTCAAAATGTTGACCCTCTTAAAGAAGGAAAATTTAAATGTAAAATATTAGAGAATTTTCCCACGAACTCATAGAGGTATCACATTTTAAAATCGGAGTCCAATAACTGAAGTTATGGAATTTAGAAGTGCAGTTTTGGGGTCCCGTACTGAAACACATTGGAAATACCGAAAAATCGAACATGAAAATGGGTTCAAATTTTGACCATCTTAAAAAGAAAAAATGTAAGTGTTAAATATAAGAGAATTTTCCCACGAACTCATAGAGGTATCACATTTTAAAATCGAAGTCCAATAACTGAAGTTATGGAATTTAGAAGTGCAGTTTTGGGGTCCCATACTGAAACACATTGGAAATACCGAAAAATCAAACATGAAAATGGGTTAAATTTTTGACCATCCTAAAAAAGGAAAATTTAAATGTACATTATTAGAGAATTTTACCACGAACTCATACAGGTATCACATTTTAAAATCGGAGTCCAATAACTGAAGTTATGGAATTTAGAAGTGCAGTTTTGGGGTCCCGTACTGAAACACCTTGGAAATACCGAAAAATCGAACATGAAAATGGGTTCAAATTTTGACCATCTTAAAAAGAAAAAATGTAAGTGTTAAATATAAGAGAATTATCCCACGAACTCATAGAGGTATCACATTTTAAAATCGAAGTCCAATAACTGAAGTTATGGAATTTAGAAGTGCAGTTTTGGGGTCCCATACTGAAACACATTGGAAATACCGAAAAATCAAACATGAAAATGGGTTCAAATTTCGACCATCTTAAAAAGAAAAAATGTAAGTGTTAAATATAAGAGAATTTTCCCACGAACTCATAGAGGTATCACATTTTAAAATCGAAGTCCAATAACTGAAGTTATGGAATTTAGAAGTGCAGTTTTGGGGTCCCATACTGAAACACATTGGAAATACGGAAAAATCAAACATGAAAATGGGCTAAAATTTTGACCATCCTAAAAAAGGAAAATTTAAATGTACAATATTAGAGAATTTTACCACGATCTCATAGAGGTATCACGTTTTAAAATCGGAGTCCAATAACTGAAGTTATGGAATTCAGAAGTGCAGTTTTGGGGTCCCATACTGAAACACATTGGAAATACCGAAAAATCAAACATGAAAATGGGTTCAAATTTCGACCATCTTAAAAAGAAAAAATGTAAGTGTTAAATATAAGAGAATTTTCCCACGAACTCATAGAGGTATCACATTTTAAAATCGGAGTCCAATAACTGAAGTTATGGAATTTAGAAGTGCAGTTTTGGGGTCCCATACTGAAACACATTGGAAATACGGAAAAATCAAACATGAAAATGGGCTAAAATTTTGACCATCCTAAAAAAGGAAAATTTAAATGTACAATATTAGAGAATTTTACCACGATCTCATAGAGGTATCACGTTTTAAAATCGGAGTCCAATAACTGAAGTTATGGAATTCAGAAGTGCAGTTTTGGGGTCCCATACTGAAACTTATTGGAAATACCGAAAAATCAAACATGAAAATGGGTTCAAATTTCGACCATCTTAAAAAAGACATATGTAAGTGTAAAATATTAGAGAATTTTCCCACGAACTCATAGAGGTATCACGTTTTAAGATCGGAGTCCAATAACTGAAGTTATGGAATTTAGAAGTGACGTTTTGTGGTCCCATACTGAAACACATTGGAAATACCGAAAAATCAAACATGAAAATGGGTCAACATCTTGACTCATTTAATTAGTCACTATATAGGAAGGAGCGTCACTTAAGAGAGGGAACCAAATGTATACAGAGAAACTATAATTTCTCTTTGATCGAACGTTTCGTTGGAAAAGCGTGGAATTATAATCGATTCTGAGGAAACCGATATCCTACCTCGACTTCGCGATCTCCATCAGTCGCTTTGGGGTTCTTGAGACGAAACAACGTAAATTTCCGCAATAAATTGAACTTATCCAAAAAGAAAAAATTAAGATGATGACATACGCAAACAGCAAGACATTGATAATTGCAGTAAATTCGTTATTTGTTATTGTTGTTATCTTGTTAGTTATCTACCATTGCGGCAATAAAGTTGAAAAACCTCAAAATAACTAAGAAGTAAGTGAAAGTTGTGATTTCGTGAGACCAACAAAATATTCGACCTGAGTTTTAAGAATTCTACGTTAAATTGGATTTAATAAAAAATTTTTAGTTGTAGAACAAATTTTGTTAACTTATTAAATGTTGTTCCTATTTCTGAATTCAGAAAGAATAATTTTTTTTGTGTGCGTCCTCAAAACTCAACAGTTTTTAAAGCTACAATGTAAATAATTACGTAATTGTTGTATTTCTTTTAGTTACTGTATTATCGGTGCCTTACAATGTCAACCACACATCGCTGTTCACCAATAAGAAACGGGATACTCAATTTATTGTTATGGCATAAAAGTATGATACAAAAAATAATAAATAAGATGAACCGATGAACAACATTCCCGCTTGTGTTTTGATGTGATTCCCCTTTTATAAAAAAAACGAAAAGTGAATCAGTGAGGTAGGTCTGTTTGCTTGCAGGTACAAACATAAACACACAATTAGCTTAGCTCTTCTTTGATTGTACATATGTTACTTTTTTGCTGTGTTTATGTTTTAATCATTTTAGATGAAGAGTGAGCAAATGTGTTTATCTTAGAATTAAAGTAAATATTTCATTGGCAATAAAAAAATGTATATAAGACGTCATTAAAACAACGAATCATGTAGTCACCGTTGAAACCACAATCATAAACCCAGTGAGGTATTTATTTTATCAATGGTAGACTGCAGTGATAACTGTTCACTGGGTCGTTCTTATCGGCTAATGAATGAAATTTACAATCTAATATACACGGAAGCGTTTCGATTTGAATGATTTTTTTTGGTTTAAATTAAATTCTGAGCCTTATGTTTAAAATATACAAATTCGTACATGTCTTTTTTCTTTGTTAGACTTTTGTTTCAAAGAACTCATTGTAAACAAGTCAAGAACTTCGCGATGTGAAATAATTTTAAAAAGAAAGCTCAGCACTTTTGGCTTTTTAAGAGAATGATGCTCAAAGAAGACATATTTCAAAAGGGCTTGCTCAGCGTTGGATTGATGAATCATATTTTTAAGTGTGAATGTTTCTTTTTTGCCTTTCTGAACGTACGTTCAAGGTTTCTACCCACATTGATTGGACTTTAATTTCGATGCGACAGGGAAATGGGTGAGTTCCAGGGGTGCCAACGAGTGTCGGCCTTTTAAACGATAATTAAAATGCATCAATTTATTGCCGTGCGCTGTGCGATGTGCCAGCAATAATAGCCATTTAATAAATACTCTCAATCACTGCCTCGCGCCTCCCCGCGCCCAAATAATGAAAAGAATTGCGGGCACAAAATATTTGCTTAATTAAAGTAATTATGGTTTCATATTTCATGCGGCGCGAACCTGTAGCTGTTGTCCAGGAGTCCCAGGCTCGGTCTGGCCGGTAATTACGTTTTGTCATAAATTTAACATTTATTTTAAAATGTCATTAAGTGCTTAACATGCTGTCCCTGTCTCGCTTTCCACTACCCATTTTCCCTTTTCCCAGCATTCGATTACACACTTTCTTGATGGCTGCGCATCATTCAAGTGGCCAAAAAGAAAGGACTAAGAAGTGCACAGTTGCCAGAAGAGATGGAAGCGGTTATTTTTTCTTAGTAATAATAATATTTATTTTACATATTTTTTGGTATAACTAGAGATGAAACTGTTGAGTAGTTCGTTTAATATTTATTTTTTAAGTAAAAATAAACGACTATTTATTTCAATATGCGCAATATTCAAGGCAAATGCGTGGAATTGTTTATGTTTATGTAAACTGATAAATAAATTTAGTGTACCCATTAGTTTTAAAGTCAATTTAAATATTTGACCATTCATTTTCTTCCGTTTATAATATAATAGATATGGATATTAAAGGATTTTTAACTTTGCTTTCATTATAAAATTGTTTTTCATATACAAAAGTAAATAAAATTAATATTTATATTGATATTGATTTATTGATATTATAACATATCTAAAATTTTCTAAAATGCTTTAAATATTAAATAAACATAATTTGTAATGAATAATTTGTTTTCGTACTCTATGTAAAAATTTAATATAAAATGTTGAAAAATGTTAATAAATAGTCTTACCATTTACTCTTTTGTTTATCAAGTAATCATGATAATATTTTTTAATTTGTTCTTAATTTTTGGTCTTAAAATACTGCTAAATATCCCATCTCTACTCTCTGCGGATCTGTGGACACATTGCAGATACGTGTCTGCAGATGAATGTGGCATGCAACAAAAGGAGGGGCATAAAAAATGGGTGCTGGAGAAGTGGTACGAAATGTGACAAGAGAATCCAACACCAAAATGAATAATGTAAATACGCCAAGTGTACAAAGTTTTAATTGTTATCATGTTTTGTTTGAGCGTTGCTGTGTGAGTATCTGTGTGAGGGACTCACACACACACTCGGCTGCCGCTGCCAAGATGCATCCATATCCATTTACGGCTGGCCAAGTTCTACGTTGCGCATACGACACATTGGTCTCGCCTCTCCAGTTGGCTGAGTGGCCTGCGGCAGCAGCAAAGTTTTCATTTTGCATATGCGCCTCGAGGCCCTCTGTCATTTCACTACCCGAAACTGGGATCGGGTTTTTAATCCACGTTTTATTCCAGCAACACATAAACTACTTTTTAAAACTCTTTGTCTGAGGGATTTTGCAGGCAGATTGAGAGACACATTCGGCTGGGTTTATTTATGTTCGTTTTTATTTTCTTATAATTTTATTGCTCGCAGTTTGGGCAAGAAATTTGCAGGCATTAGAACTCACAGATAACAAATTTACTGCAGGATTTATTATCCATATAATTCGCTGGTAATTTAATTTAAATTTAAAGTATTTTTTATAATGAGGTAAGATTTTGTCAAAGGAAATTGTTAAATCAAACTCCCTCGAGCACAATTTGTATCTAACTTAATTTAAGTTCATCTATTATTCTTTTAATTTATTCCACACATTATTACCTTGAGTTTGGCTTGGCATTCTGGGCAATTTTTCGTCCTCTTGATGGCCTCAATTATTTAAAGTTTTCTTTAATTTCAAACGTTTCGCCTCGACCATTTAAGGCATTTATGACCATTAAAGTTTAAAAATGTTTCACTTGCAGTTGATTTGCATAAATATTTAAACTTGTTTAGCTTGCATAAGCATTTTTGCCTCTGACTTTTACCATGAAAATCCAGCATCCTGTGGCTTTTGCCGTATATATTTGTTTGGCACAAATTTTAAGTGATTTATGCTGGCCGCAATTGGGGCTGCCCAATAAATACGTAGAACGCACCGAGAGCTATGAAAAATGCAGCAATAGGGATGCATCCGAGTGTGTGTGTGTGGGTATTTGTATCTGTATCTGCATCTGCATCTCCGCACGGGCATGCATATTTATTTGCCAACATTTACTTATGCTGCATTTGAGGCAACTCGGGTTTTTGGCCAAACTCAAAGGCTGGTCCAGACAAAGTTGCCAGCCATAGATTTGCCATAAGGACGCACATGAGCTATCAGTTTGTGTGTGTTGTGTGGCAGTAGAAGTAGTTGAAGCACTTGAAAGTTTTTCAAATCGGCTACGGCTACGGCATTCTGTTTACTCGAGCACTTATTTATTTGATAATAATTCCAGGGGTTTCTTCCAAAACAAACTATTTACGTTGGCCTTTCTGCCGAAGTCCGAAGTCGGAGCTCTCCATAGCTTTATAGCTGCAATATAACTAACAAGAAACTCAACCGGACTGGCCGACTCTTTTGTCTAAATAAATAATCAAAATGTCATAACAAGTGGCGTGCGTCCAGGGGCGGAGTGCATCTCATCTGGCCGGCATGTATTTCCAATGTTTATGCAAATTCCGTGCAGCCACTCCTTGAGATCCTTGGGCCATGCCGTGCTCCTGATTACGGATACGCACGCAGCCAGATCGACCCGGCTACCCCCGGGATGCATCAGTGCAATATAAATATTTTACATAGATTTTACATAGCTGATTGAAGTCCGTGTGCATATGCTAAGCCAGACCCCCCCCCCATTCTCCTCCCACTGAATTTTCCTGTAACTCATGCTGTGAAATTATCCTCTGCATGGCAATCATATCAAATCAAATTTAAAGTGCCCCCCACCAGGCACAGTGGGTCCCTCGGTCTCAAGTGCCAGAACTTTAAGGCCTTCACTCTGGATCGCCTTAATATTTGTTTATTATTTCTATTGCAATGCTTAGTTTGCGGCTAATAATTAAAATGCTTTTGGTTGAGCCGCTCCCATTACTTATTTATTTTGTGATATTTTTGTTTGGAGGCATATTGTTTCATTACATATCTTTTAAAAAGCAGTGAATTCATTGTAATTAAATATTTAATCTTTTATTAAATGCTATCAAATCAAATAGATTACGCTTTGCTATGTAGTAAGCTCATTTTGATGTTCTTTGATTTTAGAGTATTTCCATATGCCAGTCCATTTAAATACTTATTTAAAACAGAATAGTGCATAAATACAATGTCATCATAAACCCTGATTTCCCCCACAATAAAGAACAGAAAATAATACTAATTTAAGATACATTCATATTTATATTAAACACAAACATTAGTAAATACTAAAAAAAGATTAAATCATATTTATATTGTATAGGAAGTTTACACAATTCAAAAAAAATATTTATTTTATTCAGCTTACGATAGGAATTTTTAATAGGTTCATATCTGTGGATAAGGTAATATTGATTGTAAGATATTAGATATTATTTTTAAGGCGCTTAAAGTTCCTTTATATAGCTGACCTAATTAAAACGACTTTAATTATGTAATTCACCATTTATTGTAAGCCAAATAAATGTATACAATGACCAAAGGTCACGGTACTCAGGAATTTCCTGTTCTATCCCTCATCCTAAGTGGAACCCACATCCCAATCCAACCCATAGTTCGCACTTCAACGAAATACGAACCAGCAGTATGCTAATATGGCTCAGCATTTGCATACAAAGGCGTAAGCCTAATTGAACCAGCTGTGATTGGAATGGCCCCCAAGCCACCCTCGAAAGTGGGTGGTGTGGGTGGTGGGTTAGTGGGTGGTGGGTGTGGTTTTTGACCCACTATGCGGGTGGGCATTAGCGGTGACGGTGGTGCAATTAATAGCTAATTTAGAGTCGATGTTAAAAAGGCAACATTATTTATGATTATTTGTTTATTGCTTGCGGGTCGTTTGCCGCTTTCCACCTGAGCGAATTAACACCCCACCCATCGAGTCACCCCATATCCACCCCCCACTCACCCACTCACCCACACATGCAAAGCAAAGCCGCTGGCAGCATTTAGCTGCAATAGACAGCCATTTTGTGGTGTTGCCTCGGCGATAAAGTAATAGCTGCTATTTGGG